TAAAGATATAAGTCTGGGCATATCTGCAGTAAATTAGGTTCTTTGTGAATTAACATGATGTAATTAAAGGTATTCTATGAATCTAATTTATGTGTATTTGATTCCAATATATATATATATATATACACACACAGAACAATTATAAGCAAAATTTTAAAATAAGTTATAATCTTAGAAACTTTATAATGTATGTTAACAAAGATAAATTTCCTTCTTACGCAAAGAGCTCATAAATCAATAAGAAAAACTAAAATAATTCATTTGAAAGAATCTAAGTGAAATTATAGAAAAAAATGATTTTAAACATGAAAAATGTTTATAAAACAATAAAATTCCATTTTTCAGATTATCAAGATTGGGCCAGGGATTTAGCTCAGTGGTTTTGCTGCCTGCTGCGCAAGCACAAGGACCTGAGTTCAATCCCCAGTACCAAAAAAAAAATACAGATTATCAAGATTATGTGCTTTTACTAGATTATCAAGAATCAAATAATTTGATAATATACTTTGCTGCTGAGACAAGACTGTAAGTTGGTATATTTCTTTGACAGTTAATGTGTAGCATCAGAATTTTAAAATTTTCAATGAAGTTCCACTAGCAGGAGTTTTCAAAGACTTGTTCACTGGCATGCATACTTCAGCATGGTGGAAAGCATAAAACATCCAGAACAGATGCTGGTGAGTTGCATTATAATATATATATTCAATAAACTATTGTGCAGAATGAGCTAGAGCTTCATATGCTGATGTGAAAAGATTCCTCAAAATTTAAAGATACAGAACTATTGGCTCCCACTTGGGGCAGAAGAGGAGGAAGTAGAATAAGAAGGAGAAGAAGTTGGTAAGGAGAAGGTGGAGGTGGGAGAAAAAGAAAAAAGAATCAAGACCTCCACTTCCACATGCCCCACATCACCTAGCCTGATGCCTTACACATAATATTCCAAATAAATAAAACTACTCCACCAGTCCTGAGTCTTATCTAGGTAACAGTTAAATAGTTTCAACTCAGATTAATCTTTGAAAAGCAGACACCTTGGGGCATGAAATGCTCAGGCTAGGGAATTTTCTGGTTCTTGGAGGTAGTCTATACTGGTAAGAAATTAAAGTATTAACTTTAGAGGAGATGAAGGGTAAATCAAAATTGATGGAAAAACACTATCACACCAAAACAGCATGCCACCTACCTGAAGCTAAGGATGGATGAGTTTAAATTACTAGGACAAGTCCTATTAATAGACATATCATCAATATGGGCTTTTGGAGAGATTTGGGGACTTAGCAAATTGGGTTGACTTGCAGAAGAGGTTCTAACCCACGTTGATCTTGATCTAGGGAGATAATCTGTACCAAAAGGAAGTTGTTTTAAAGTGCATCTGAACAAAGTTTTATTAAATACTAATAGAGCAACAGCCAATGTACATAAGCAGTGAGACTTGGGAAATTACCAGGAATTAAATTTTGAAAAAAATTTTTTTGAATATACTAGTGTCAAGTTGGCTCATTTTTAGAAATTTGCTAAACATAAATATCAAGGAAAATATTAATGTATTGTAAGATTCTTTCCAGTTGTAAAAACATCTAATTATCTAAACAGTTCATGGATAGAATTCCTAACATTTAGAAACGATGGAGTTGCATTTTTTAAAAAATTAATTTTATCGGTACATTTTAGGTATACAATATAATGACATTCATCATTGGAAATTTGCACCTTTACATCATCTCTCTTGGTTCTTATTATTTCCCCATTCCCCTGCCCTCCCTTCAACCCCTCCATCCCTCCCTATCTACAAAGACTTTGTTTCCATTTTTTCATTTTCTCATATTAATTCCATTCCCTTCTTTCCTTTCCCCTACCCCTTCCACTTCCCCTTTTCTTTCTAT